GTAAGCCACATCAGAATTGAACCTGACTTTGAATTTCCATCCATGTCCAAACTCTACTACATCAAACTGAAGAATCTAGAGGAAGACACTTTGCAAACCAATTTTTAATATGTTTAATCAACAGATGTTTGAAACTCTGCAATGTTTTGACCATGTGCTTTGGTTGAGGACTTGATGTCTGATGATTTTGACAATGCTCTGTTGCAGAGAACAGCAAAGATTAATCTCAAGCTGCTACTTGTGCTGCAGCACTGCTGGTCAGTGCTCACCAGCAGCAGGGTGCCATGAGAAGTAGGACACTGGTCAGTCTAAATGACTACTGTGCTAACTCAGGTGCACAGTGGCTAGGACTCTTAACAGGTTTGTTCAGGGCAGTGTAGAACTATCCCAAAATACATCAGCCGTCTATCTCCCTGTACCGTTGTCATTTAGGAGGTTTGAGTTCCTGCAATATCCACTCACAGTGCAGTGGAGGAGTGTCTTTATTATATTCGCCACATTCTTCAGTAGATTTACAGCATATTTGCTGAGAAGGTTGTTGCTATTCCTCTCTTATTCTGTCTGCACAAATTCTGCTAGTCACAACAGAAATTGCATGATTATATGAGAGACCAGGTGACTGTAAATGAGATCACATCATCCCTGAGCAAAAATACGAGCTTTACAAAGTTAGTCAAGAGAATTACAATTGATAATTTTTGATCTCTCAATTGAGTTATGGAAAAACAGCAACTAACCCAAAATGAACAGAAAATTTTAGAAAAAAATACAGAATTTTCGACTTGTGTCTTTTCCTGAGGATCTCAACATTTATGAAGAGAGCTTTGCAATGTCCCTGTAGGAGACACGTACATGTTTTTCTTGTTGTATAATTGAGAAAGTGAAGCAAAGAGGGCTTGTGAACTATGTAATGTTTCTCAGAAAACCTAAAGCAGATTCAGGAGTAGAATCTAGTTGCTTGATTTTCAGAACAATGCTTTAGTCCTGAGACCCATTCTTTCCTCTGACTTTTATTGCATTTTTGTCAGAATGGCTATTTCCATATAAAATTGAATGTTACTTTTGCATCTGTGGTGCTGGAATACAGAGCAGCTAGACTAAGGTTTCTGTAAGCAGGTTGTTTATGAGGGCAACAAAGTCAACTTTGTTTTACAACTTTTTTCATAATGTTCTGGCTGTGAAAGCAGATTTCTAGATGCCAGGTTGCATTCAAGTCATGCAGAAGTTTAAGGCAATTTAGTCAACACTAGAAATGAAGAAACAACCTTAAGACACAGTGTTTATGTTGTCAAAAGAATATCATTAGCTCTACTGTGTTATAAGAGTGTTTTCCTCTGCATTTCACTGCAAAAGCAAAATTTGACATACATTTGACAGGATTCCAATTGACAAAAACTAACATGTTAGCAAGTCAATACCACTGAGAGACCAATGTGATATCTGATCTGACAGCAAGATAAATTGTTCCAAAAATGAAACTGGTGCTGAAACTAAATTTGTAATTGTATTATACATCTTCCAGAACATCATATACAGTTGATTTGCTCTCTGCCATTGACATTCTTGTATTAATTTCCATGCAAGAATAAACACAATTTTCCCCCCCAAGAACACCCATAAACAATTAGTCAGAAACAGAATATTAAGCAAAAGTATTAACTGTATTACTAAGCATGTTATCAGCTTGGCAGTGTTCTGTGTTTTTAATTATTTTTGAGATTTTTCAAAAACCTAATGGTCTGGACAGAGCTTTCTGTTCCCTTTTTTTTTTGGTTGGTTTTTTTTATTTTTTTTTTTTGGTCAGGTCTCCTACATGTGGTTATTTTTGTGATCTCTTTTCTTCAGTTGGACCAGTGGTCTGCCAAACATCCACTGCTATGCAGCTGACAGGACAAGGGAGGTGATTCTGCCCCTCTGTTCTGCTCTGGTGAGACCCCACCTGGAGTACTGTATCCATCTCTGGGGTCCCTAGCACAAGAAGGAAATAGGTCTTCTGGAGAACAGCAGGAGGAGGAGATGACCACAAAAATGGTCATCTGGCTATAGCACCTCTCCTATGAAGAAAGTCTGAGAGAGTTAGGGCTGTTCAGCCCGAAGAAGAGAAGGCTCTGGGGAGACTTTATTTCAGTATTTCAGTACTTAAGGGACTTATTTCCAGTCTTTTAAAAGGGACTGGAAATTAGCAAATATAACACCCATCTGCAAGAAGGGTCAGAAGGACGATCTTGGGAACTACAGGCCTGTCAGCATGACCTTGGTGCCAGGGAAGGTCATGGAGCAGATCACCCTGAGTGCCATTGCATGACGTATGCAGGACAATCAGGGGATCAGGCCCAATCAACATGCGTTGATTGAAAGGCAAGTCCTGCTTGACCGACCTGACTCAGTGAGAGGGAAAGGCTATGGATATTGTCTGTCTGGACCAGCTTCATGAAAGAAGGTTGTAGTGAGATGGGGGTCAGTCTCAAGTGAAAGGACAAGAGGAAAAGGTCATAAATTGCGATAGGGGAGGTTCAGATTATATATTAGAAAAAATTTTTTTCACTGGCAGAGTGGTTAGACATTAGAATAATTTATCCAGGGGCATTGTGTAGTCACTGTCTCTGGAAGTGTTCTAGAGGTGTCTGGATGTGGCACTTGGGGATATGGTTTAGGGGTGATTATGGTGGTGCTAGATGATCTTGAAAGTCTCTTCCAACCTTGATGATTTGATGATTTTGTGATTATAAGAAAGATGGGGATGGATTTTGGCAGGGTCTGTTGTGATAGGGTGACAGCTAATGGCTTTTAACTAAAAGAGAGTAGTTTTAGACTAGATATAAGGAAGAAGTTTTTTACAATGAGGGTGGTGAAACACTGGAACGGGTCTCCCAGAGAGGTGGTGGATGCCTCATCCCTGGAATCATTGATGATCAGTTTGGATGGGATTCTGAGAAACCTGGTCTAGTGGAAGATGTCCCTGGTCATTGCAGGGGAATTCACCTGGAAATATACCTACCATCTTAGACTTTCTTCTAAAAAAAAAAATTCACTTTAGCATAATATGATAAATAAATATAATTAAGAAAATTATAGCTTCACTTTTGAGCCATCTCATATGATGTGTACTATAGATATGTACAATTTGCTTTATCAATAGTTTCAGTTTTCTTCATAGACAAAAGACTAATTAGATGCTTCAGAAGTTGAAAGAGGCTCTTTGACAGAATTTCCTGGTCCTGACCAAGAATCATGGCAATGAATACTGTACAAAAAATGGCTGTAATGCTTCTCTTTCAACAGGGTTATGCCAGAATTTAATCATGGAGATGAGGTCACAAGGTTTCAATGTTTTATTTACTAAATTGCCCTTTAACACTTCTGCACTGCAAATAGCAGCCAGTGCCTAGATTTCAGGAGAGCATCACACTTTATTCGGTTTGCAATAAAGGGTGAGATAAAGGGTGAGAGTTCTAATATATTTTTCTATTTATTTGCAAGGCAACCTTAGCAGTCTCTTGCCCACTGCAGTGGTCTCTGTTTTGTAGCTGGGTGACAGGGTTATTATGGCAACTTAGCCTATGTGCTGACTACATTTTTGGCTAGTTTCAGAGTGCTTTTTATCTGTTGCTGTAATTCTGGTGTGAATATTAGCGACATATTTTTGATGTACGTGGTTTTATTGCATTAATGCCATAGTTATACCTTCAGTTAGCACATCTTACTTTAACATACTGTTTTAATATAGCAAAACCTACTACTATGGTCATAAGTGTGACTCTGTGCAGACTTTATACTACTAGCATAGGTGTCATGATCTCACCCTATGAGGCTGAATTGTGCCAGGCTCACCGCAAGGATTCAAGGAAATGGTGTTCAATTAGGGCTGCAAGACTCTCTTCTGTGATGGTCATTGTGACCAAGAAATGTCAGTGTTACACTAACCTGTGCCATTGCCTCGGAAAACGTTTTGACAAAAGAGTGAAAGTGATATGTCTCTAGTGTCTCTGACATTTCCTGGCTCCACAGAGACAAGGAGCATTACCTTGTTGTCTTCCTTTGTAAAGAATTGAAGGGGAAACTCTCACTCTGGGGCAGACATCAATATTACCAGCCAGAACAGACACAACAGACCTTCAAACACAGACCTTAGTTAATCTTTTTTGTTGATTTGGACTACTGAGACAATGCTGGTGTTAACTGTTTGTCAAGCTTTTTTGTTTGTTTGTTTTTTGTTTTGATGAGAGAAAGTACAAAATTGGTAAAATGGTAAAAGAAACAACTATTTTTCTGTTTTTTTCTTACTGATTTTTTTCCCAAATACCATGATCTTTCAAACACAGTACCGAAAATTGAAGTGGTCAACCCTGCTTTTGTGCTTAGGTTCTTGCCATCAACATTGCTGAAAAAACTTCTGCAACCTAAAACATAGTTGCTCTTATTTCAAGGCTGCAGTATTCAATGTGACATAGTCATGTTTTATTGTTTAAATTTTCTGTAGTGTGGCATCAGCACTTACAGAAACAGTTAACCTTGACACCAGTGCACGTGAAAATAGAAGTCAAAGAAAAACCTAGCAGACTGATAAGTGGTAGGAATAGTTAATAGCACTCTGCTGATGATAACTGTATGGATTCCAAACATATTATTTCATGCAGCAATGACTGAACTTATTTCTGCTTGTTAAAGTATTTGTCTAGAAATAGAGATTTACATTATAACACTAGAAACTGGATGCTGTGAAGAGGTCTAAAAACAGACTGGAATGTCTAAGCCCTTTAGTCACTTTAAATAATATGGTACTGAAGTCAATAAAATTACACTTGCAGACTACTCCATAGGCTTCTGCTTGACTGCTCTGGGATTCATTGTATATTAAGGCTTTCTAAGGTTTTCTAAAAAAACCCATTGCTCTAGTCCACATTAGCTGTACATTTAGCTTGCATGCTCGGTATGAGGATGGCTAAAAGACAACACTGTAATTTGTTATTAAAATCTGTATTTTTTTTTCTTCATTACAGATTAATCTCGGAGATCTTGGGCAGCTATATAAAATCCGCATTGGCCATGACAACACTGGAAATGATCCCAGTTGGTACCTGAAGGAAGTCAAACTTGAAAGAGTAGTCCCTCGTTCTGATGAAGAGATTTGTCTCCCCATAGAGTGCTGGCTTGCGGAAGACAAGGATGAAGGTGATACGTGGAGAGAAGTGGCAATAAGAAACCCTGCAAAGGAACTTTTGCCATGTACGTACCTAGTATTTTAGATCATAGCCATATCCTGTGAATTTATGACAGCTTTTCATGTTTCTACCAGGGCAGACTGCCCAAAAGCCAGCGTGACCACGAAGCAATCCCTTCCGGTTACTTTCTAGCTCCACAGAAGCAGGAAGTGATCACTTAACCTCAATTCTTTCCTTCCCAAAATCAGAATAATGTCTGTGGCCAGTGCATGTAACCCCTATACAGTTTTTGATCTCTCAGAGTACCTGTGCATCACTGGGAAATTCTGCTCTTTAAAGAATGGAATCAGGCAGGAAATCAAGGCATATCAAGGTACATAGTGTTATGTGACATCCAGTTCCTTTTGTCAAGTTTGATATCATCGTTTCTTGTACTGCATAAAATATTCTTTACCAGAAATCCATTATCTGAAGCATCACACATGTGTTTTTCAAATCAGGCTCGAGTCACAGCCATTCACATAGGAATTGTTAGCCGCAGGGTGACACTTTGGTACTTCAAAGTTTAGGATAGCTTCGACACATTTTGTTCTCTTCAAGTGAAGTAGGAAATAGCCCATCATATAAGATTATTGTTTAAAAAGTCCTGGGCCTTTATGAAGGAATAGGGATTTGGTATAATCATATAGCATGATTTCTTTTTTGTAAAAATAGAATTCTCTTTATGTGTAGAATGACAACAATGCAGCTGATGGCCAATAATGTTTGACATTACATAGATATGTGCTACCATACAGCGAATTGCATTTAAACTGATGCAGTGAATTTTGCAAGAATTTTCAGTGTTTGAACATAAAAAAATATCATCATGCACTTAGTGACAAATCATTTCAGAGGAAAATACCAAAGAAGTGAAAACGTTCAAGTTAAAAGAATATAATTCTCTGAAAAAAACCATTAAGACTGTGATGTGTGAATGTATTATTAGAACGGCCAGAAGATGCTGAGGAACATGTATGAGCTAGCTCACATTTTCCCTCTGGTCTTTTTTTATTTTCTTCACTTTTTAAAAATTATTATGCAGAATATTTACTGACTTCAAAAAAAGATTTGAAAAAATAGGACTGACCTGGATGAATCAGGCCCTATGACCATTAACATGTATCACGGTACCATAATACACTCACAGTGGCATATATGTGGTATACTGGGGCAATAGGAAAATAGTGCAGAAACCAATTAAGTTGTACAAACAATCAATTCAACATCAATAATTCAAATCTGCATTATGTAGTCTGAGATACCCATTCATAGAGAAGTACTAATATTCTGGTAGGTGCACTCCAATTAAGTATTTCTACATGAAAAATCAAGTCAGTTCTATCAAAGGCTGGGAATATATTTAAAACAGCACATTCATTTACTCTTTAATTATTATATTACTGTATATTTCCTTATGCTTGCAGGAACATTATCTTAATTAAAATATATGTCTCAAGTATGTAAGAAAAGATACATTAGAAAAATTTGGAAATTTCCTGAAAATTTAAGATTTACTAATTAATTATTGATTTTAGGCATATTTAAATTGAACATCAATATAAACTCAGAAAGGAATCCAAAGGATTTCCTACTTATTTTCTCAAGAACAAGCAAATAAAACACTATCCATTCGCATTTTTCATTTAAAAGCTAATTGCTTACAAGTACTGTACAAATCACATCAAGTCACTTTCTCCAGCAGAAGAAATGATGTACTGCTAATTATTCAGTGATGATCTGATATTATTTGGTAATTTGTATCCTGTACTTTCAATTCAATCTGTTATCTTCTGGTCATATTAGATTTGCTAAACTATAAAAGTGATGTCCTAGAAAATTTAAACAAAAGGAACAAATGTAAACTAAGGACAAAAGGCACTTTTTGCACTTTTTTTAAACTGCTGTTCTTTAACATTTATCCTATTGTTCAGCTTCCCTCTTAGAAGAAAGGGTAATTTTCATCTTATTCTTTTTCTCCCTTTCCCCAGCAAAAGTCTACTATGCAACCAATATGGACCCAAAACCTTGGAGTTGATTTTTGATTCCTTGGCTTTCTCTTTTTCTAGCATCTCTTCTTAAGATCTGAATTTATTTCCTGAATCTTTTAGTTTTTCTTCACCTTCCTCTTTGAATATTTTTCTTTTCCATCCAAATTTCTCACCATGGTAACCCCTCTTAGTTTTTCTGACCGTCCCTCAACCACTTAAAAAAATTAATACTAATCTGGTCTCCTACTCCTAGTGATGATTTCACTTCTTTCTCAATCTCTCCATCACACCAGTCTCAGCTTCCTCTCCTAACTTAGTTTTCTTAACTCTCCAATATATGTCTGCATTTGTGCTCCCCTCTTTTCTTATTTTTTTCACATTGCCAAGGCTTATAGGTCTGTGGCTCCTTTTCCTCTTCCTATTACATCCTCTCTTTTGCTTTTCCAGCCCTGGAGATTTAAAAAGCTTCACCTGATCTATCTCTGAAGTTGTCCCTGAATTAAGCATGCTGTTGAACTGGATGATCCCTGGAGGTCTGCTCCAACCTGATTTTCTCATATGATTTTTCTATGCAGCCTCATTTTGTTTTGTTTTGTTTTTTCTGGTAGTCCTAGATATTTTTAGTTTACCAAACTTTACAAGTTTGTTTACTTGTTGCTGTTTTGATAGGGTTTCATCGCCTAGTTACATTGCGATGCACAAAATAAAAGAAAAATTGTTCAACTATTTTCTAAGTCATAGGTATTGGAAACTAGTAATCATGCCCTGAACTGGTTAAATCTTAAGTGTGACTCAATGAAAATGAGAGAGAAACCTTATTTTGAGTGCTTTTGACTTAGCTTTATAACACAGGAGTATTCCGAGAATCAGACCAGATATGACAGCTCAGTGTAGGTGAAGGTGCCACAGCTGCATGGCCCCAGGTCCAACCAGCAGCAAGGCTCAACATGTGCTTCTGGTCAGCACACAGAGAGAGAGCAGATGTATACACCACATATAATGGCCAGCTGCACAGATGGTTGCACAAACACTGCACCAGCAACCTCATCCCACTCCCTTCTCTAGCTCACCAGGATGGGTATCCACTAGTGGGACTATATACGTGTATAGATGTGTACATGGTAGATGCTTCCAACAGTTGGGCTCACACACTCTCTCTGCTCAGCAGTTGCCCCTGAATCCCAGTCTCCCCAGTTGCTGGCAACTGGACATATGAGGCCCTGAAGCTGCAGTCCTGCTGCAGCTGCTGGTACAGACCCTCTCCCACATGCACACACGCATGCACACACAGAGCTGTCTGCCCCTTTGAGACACACATGCACCCGAGCAGGTCTCACCCCTAGAGATACCTGCACCTCACGGTGTGTCTGACAGCTGACTGGGACTCCTATGGTCCCTCTAGCATTCAGCTGCTCATGTGGCCCTGCACTTAGAGACATGGGCTTTTGACCCCTGGTCCCATTTCACTCGCTGACAATTTTACTCCCTTCAGTATCTCCAGCTGCTGTCATCCATGACCCCAACTGGGTCTCAGTCCAGTCACTGGCACTTAGACCCCCTACCCACACGTGCACACAGATCTGAAACCTCTGTTTTCTAACACCTGTTCCTCCCCAAGTGAGAAGGAGATCCATGTCTTTCCCTGTCTTTAATTCCTCCCCTAAACATCTCATAAATTCTGTGTAATTACAAAATTCTTTTCCCCTCGACCCTATATTGTGTCAGACACCCTTAGACAGCAAACCCCAGAAGCATGGCAGATACTCCAAATTGACTCACTGTGCTGGGTTTCATGCCCAGGCACTGGGACTGAGGCTCTCCTGGGACACCATTGAAGGGGCTGGAAGAGAGTGTCCCTTTCTCTAAGTTGGTTTTCCACCTGTTCTGGTGCCCCTGTGATTGTAGAGATGGCTCCACATCAGACTGTGGGCTGACAGCTCCTGTGATAGGCCTGGGAGAAGCCAGAGCAGGGTGTTAACTGGACTGCCCCCTGCCAATATCTGCCTGTGTTCTTTCGTGAATGTGCAGAATATTTTCACACATTCTAACATGGATTGTCTTCAGATATGGCTGAAGTTTTGAACCGAAGGGATACGTGATACAAGAAGTGTTGAATTTTCTCTACTGTTGTGTTTATATGAACATAAACTTCAAATGAGAATATAAATGGGTAAATATATTCTGTTCTTATTCACATAATCGAAGGAATAATTGTACCGATACGAGATAAAAGACAAATATTGAGACTGAATTAGGAAAAATTCCAGCTCAAAATATTTAGAAGTCTTTTTCACTTGGAGAAATGTGCAGACAAATATAGAAAATTTAGATATGCCTACTGACTAAAATAATGCAAAAGATGACCGAAACAAATAGTAATGACACAAGTGTTAGCTCTACAAAATTTTTATCCCTGTTTTATCACTCAGGAGGCACCAACTACATAGGTAAATAGTCAAGCTTCTCTTTCCTATTGTAAAATTCATTAGTAAGTGTGTTTTTTCAAAGCTGATAATTTTCTTACATGTTATGAAGAATATATATATTTTTAGACTACTGCTTCAAAGAGTAATAGTGGACAATAGATACCATTTAGTGGAGATTACAGTGAGAACTGTAATTTTAATTTAAATGTCTACACCTGATATTGTTTTTATATTTGTGTCTTCTCAAATAATATCTGCACCACTTCTGAGGAAGATAGTCCCTCTGAACCACAATCAGCCATTAAGACTTTGCTGTCTTTTAGCCTTAGCACTCACCAACCTTTACCCTTCTGTCATGGCAAAATGCCAAACGCTATTTGTGAAACCTGGGTAGTAAATACCAAGTAGTAAAACCACAGACATTCAGTCTTGCTGTTTGACAGATTGAGCCAAAATGACCATTTAATTCAAGTGGGCATGTCATATGGAAAAAAGGCCGAACCTGGAGCTGTTATCTTGGAATGCCATCATTAAGGGAGGACTGAATAGAAAGAGTTTGACAATTTTAGTGTTGTATATAATTTAACATCTCTCTAGATTTTGTGCAC